GGTTGAGTTTTCAGAGTTCTTTGTCTATTTTGGATGCAAGTCCTTTATGTGATATGTGTTTTGCAAATATTTTCTGTCAGCCTGTGGCTTCTCTTTTCTGCAGGGCAGAAGTTTTTAATGTTAATAAAGTTTAACTTACCAATTTTTACTTTCATGGATCATACTTGTGGTGGTGTTTATAAAGACTCATCACTAAACTGAAATTCACATAGATTTTTATCCTGTTTTTATAGTTTTGCATTTTCTACTTGGGTTATAATCCAGTTTGGTTTCATTTTTGTGAAAAATATAAGGTCTGTGTCTGGCTTTTTTTTTTTTTTTTTTTGCATATGAACATCCAGTTGTTCCAGCACCATGTGTTGAAGAGATTGTCCTCTCTCTATTCGGAAGTCTTGCTCTTTTATTAAAGATAAGTTGAGTATGTTTTTCTGGGTCTGTTTCTGAACCCTCTGTTCTGTTGCAGGGGTCTTTGTGGCTGTTCTTTTACTTTGTTCTTGCTACTTTGATAGCAGTGAGTGTTTTCTCTTTTTAAAATTATACTCGAGGATTTGTCTTTTTATACTTTTGTAAATCAGTTTTGAATTTCTTTGTTAATTCTAGCAATTACCTTTATTATTTCTTTTCTTGAACTTGTTTTCTCTTCAGTTAAATTAGTTTCTTAAATTAGCTTCTTCATTTAAATTAGTTAAGTTCTTTTTATTTTCTCTTAAAATATATGTCTACTAGGGCTCCCATTAAAAAAATACCACAGACTGGGTGGCTTAAACAGCTGAAGTTTATTTTCTTACAGTTTTGGAGACTATACATTTAAGATCGAGGTATTGGAAAATTCATTTTTAGTGAGCTCTCTTCCTGGCTTACAGATGGCAACCTTCTCACTGTGTCCTCACATGACCTTTTCTCTGTGCCCAGGGGAAGAAGAGGTGGGGGGTGAAGATACCTTTGGTGCCTCTTCCTCTTCTTATAAGGACACCAGTTCTACTGGATTAGAACCCTACCCGATAATCTCATTTAGCTTTAATTATCTCCTTAAAGTACAGCCACACTGGGGGGTTAGGGCTTCAACATATGAATTTTGGGGGCATACAGTTCAGTCCATAACAATGTGATAATGGCATCATTGCTATGAATTTGTTTCTGAATTTAGACTTAGCTTATACTGCATTCTTTCTTATGTGTTATTATCATTACTCTACATGTTGTTACTGTACTCTTATTTCCTCATTGACCTTATAGTTAATTAGAAAATGGTGCTTTTCCTTTGTTCTCCAGAATCTTTTATAAGCCCTCTACTTTAAAAGCCAATATAGATATCTGTAATACTGTGGGCATTGTTTTGATCTTTTGAGTTTATTGAACTTTTCTCTGTAGTCTAACAGGGTGGTTCTTAATTGCATGGGACATTTGGATGTGTGCGTTGTTTAAAAAAATATTTGTTTTTATTTATTTAATTTTATTTATTTGACTGAGCCGAGTCTTAGTTGCAGCATGTGGGATCCAGCTCCCCAACGGGGGATTGAACCCAGGCCCCCCACATTGGGAGCATGGAGCCCCAGCCACTGGACCACCAGGGAAGTCCCTGGCTGTGTGCATTTTTGGTTGGTGTTATGATGTGCGCTGGGAAGGGGTCTATTTCTAATTCTCAGGGGAAAGTAAGAGCTCCTGGTCTCTTCCATGCTCCAGGCCAGCCATGCAATTGTATGTTATATGTTTCTGTGTGTGTGTGCGCGTGCGTGCGTGCATGTGTGTGTGTGTGTGTGTGTGTGTGTGTGTATTAGGAGTAGGGGAGAGAGTGAAAAAGAGATAGGGAGAAAGAAAGGGTGAATATATCATGACCTGTCTCACTCAAAACATGCCACACTGCCAGTGGTGCTTTGAAGCATCAGGAGTAGGTGTGGAGCACTGTGAGTGGAGTCTCCTCCCAGAATTCCAGGTGTTCAGTGAGGCAGAGCCCCCTGTGCTCTGGTTTCCCCATTTTCTTTGGTGATCTCAATCTAACTCCAGGATTTCACCTCCAAAAGGGTGAGTGCCGGGGAGCAGTCTCACTTGTGAGTCACTTGTGTCTACTCTAAACTCATCCCAGTGATGCTCTTCCAGGTCTTTCCCACTGTCTGGGATGGGCTTTCTTCCTTAGGTGACAGGAAGCAACTTAAATCAACCCTCCAATCTTCCTCTTTCAAGACTCATATTAAAAACTGTGCTTTAAACTTTCGAAAATTGTAAAACACTATAGAATTTAATGAATCTTTCATTCAATAAAATAATTAATAAAAAAATTGTGCTCAGCCCTTGAGCACAATCTCTCTGAAGGGAGATTTCTTTTTTCCCTTTAGCTAAATGTTTTTAGCTACCTATTAACTTTTAATTTTGATATAATTTCAGACTGAAAGTCTCAAAAGTATGAAGAATTCTCAAATACCCTTTACTCAGATTTTCCATGTACTGGTATCTTACCACATCTTCTGTCTTCTCTACCGATGGACACAAACACATGCACACACACAAATCAGGAAATTAATATTGTTACAATACTGTGATCCAATCAATAGGCTTTATTCATGGTTCACCAGTTGTCCCACTTAAATCCTTTCTACCAAAAGAAAATTCAAGCTCTTGCATTGCATTTAATTGTCATGTCTCTTTAGTCATTCTTTGTATTCTATGACATTGGCATTTTTGAAGACTATAGGTCTGTTATTTTGTAGACAAGTTGCTCAGTTTGGGTTTGGTTATGTTTCCATATATTGGGTTCAGGTTATATATTTTTGGCAGAAATCCCACAGAAGTGGTACTGTATTCTCAACGAATCATAACAGGAAGTGTGTGATGTCGGTTGTTTCATCGCTGGTGATGTTAACTTTGATCATTGGGTTAAGGTGGTGTCTGCTAGATTTCTCCACTGTTAAGTTACTATTTTTCTTTTTTGCACTGGATAAATTATCTTGTGGGAGGATACTTTGGGGCTGTTATCCTGTTATTCTTAAATTTCTACCTGAATCAATGATTATTATGGTGTTTATCAAATCATTATTTTCTAATTCCATCATTTTTTCTACATGAATTAGATTTTTTGGTTTGCCTTTTACTATAAGGAAGAGTTTTCTAATGAAGGACTTTTGTAATTTAGAAAATGCTTTTTTCCTGTCAAGAAGTTGAGTTTCTACAGTTGAATGCCTTCCTTTCACACCTGTTGTCTTTTAAACTCAAGGCTAAGCTATGAGACCTTTGTGTTAGGGCTGTACCCTAGCTGTACTCTTCCTGTCTGAGGCAATGATATCCTGAGACTGTGCATGAAGAGCCATAGGGTCACATGAATGATTTCAGCTAAGAAAAACTCCTTGGTTTAAACCCTTCAGTATCACCTTGCTATAATAGTTTTTTCTTTTGCAGGTTTTTGTATTTTTATGTCTCTATAGGTACTTTAGTATAAAATTAAGTGAAACTGCTATTAAAGAGGAATTATGTGATCAAAAATATATTACCATTTTGGATATATGATGCAACTTAAACCAATAACAGAATGTTACCAAATTGCTGACCTGCTGTTCACTTCAATGAATATTTAAAAGCCCTAATAACAATGGTTGCAAAAAAATTAAAGTTTGAAAAGAACTTCAAAACTTTTTGTCTGCTGAGTAGCTTACCTGTCTTCTTGTAAGGATTAAACCACTAATTTGCTAGATTAACTCATCAAACATTAGACAAAGATTATGGTTGTACTGTCAATCTGGTGATGCGACACTACATTATTATGAATTCCAAATTAGGGAATTTGAATTGATGAATTTGTTTTTACTATCAGAAGTTGTATGTTTTGAATTTGTTGGTATTTGTGTCATGGTGAATATATCTTGGCCATATCATCTCCAAATGAATCCTCTAATATCTTCAAGACATGTCATGTTTTCTTAAGCAAAAACATTTCAATAAATGTGCCACAGCCTGGCAGATTCTTTCATGTTAAGGCAAAGTGATATTTATTTATGTTAGCTGTTTCTTGTAAATATATGGTGTCTAACTTAGCTTAATAGAACATAAGACAAATTAAACAAAAAGAGTTAAACACAGTTTCTTTTTTATGTGTAGTATCCCAAGAGAATCAAAAAAAGAAAGCTAATTGCCAAGTATCTCTCCGGTTTTCTCTCAAACACATTCTATTATTTTAATGATGGATCATATATCTGAAATCTCACCTTGTGGATCTAAAATAAGCACTAGAAACACAAAGTTATTCAATGTGTGTATTCTCTGTTTTAAGAATGTTAGAATTTGGGTGTATTCTATCCAGGTAATTAATGTGATATTTTAGCATACCCTGGTGCATACTTCTTGCACAGAAGTTCTAGGGAAACTGTTGACTGGTTTTGATTTCTATGTTTCAGTGGCTCATGTGTACAAAGATGATTATCATGTCTATCTGAAAGTGACATTGTCTTAAGAAACGTGTAGAGGAAATTGAGGAATATTGCAGAGAACATTATTAGGTCTTATCTGTTTTTTAAAAACAACTGTCCACATAAACGATTCCTTATTTATTTTGTATGTATTGAACAAATGATTTTTAAAAAATTCATTTATTTTTAATTGAAAGGTAATTGCTTTACAATATTATGTTGGTTTCTGCCATATAATAGCATGAACCAGCCATATATATATATATATATATATGTTCCCTTCCTTTTGAACCTCCGTCTGACCTCCCACCCCATCCTACCCCTCTAGGTTGTTACAGAGCCCCAGTTTGAGTTCCGTGAGTCATACATCAAATTCCCACTGGCTATCTATTTTACATATGGTAGTGTATATGTTTCCATGCTACTCTCTCCATTTGTCCCACCTTCTTCTCCCTCCAACCCCCTGTTGCCCCATGTCCATAAGTCTGTTCTCTATATCTGCATCTCCATTGCTGCCCTACAAATAGATTCATCAATACCGTCTTTCTAGATTCCGTATATATGTGTTAACATATGATACTGAACAAATGATTTTTGAATCACTAGATCCTTCTTGTAACAAGCATGAAGATACCTTTTTCTCGGTGTTTCACACTCAGGTTCCACCAGAAGACTATGAAAATCATATACAGAATGTCAAACAAGGTATGTGATTTTATATATTGTCACAAGAAGATACTAGCTATATATACAAATATTTACAGATGAAATGATTTGATGTGATTTAATTCAGTGGTGAGGGAAGTAGGTGAGGTTCTAGATGAAACAGGATTGGTCATGAGTTAATCATTATTGAAGTTAGTTGTTGAGGGTTCATTATAATAATTTTCTTTCAGACATTTGAAATTTTGTGTAATAAACAGTTAAATCTGGCTGCTAGTAATGGAAATCTAGTTTAAGTGAAAAAGAAAATTTATGGAAAGAATCCTCCTGGTAGATAGCTTCTTTGATTCCTAAGATCATATCCTTTCACTAGTCATTGAGAGGGTAATTCAATTCCATAATCCTAGAGAAGAGACCAACTGATCTGTCTTGGGTTAGGTGCCCACCCTTTGTCCAACCAATTCATCCAACCCAGCAAGAGTTGGGGTCACTACCAGGACATAGCAACCTCTACCTTGGATCACTCCCAGGATGGAGAGGAGAAGAAGCCATTTCTAGGCAGATAGTTTCTACCAGACTATCCAAGATTTTTTCCTACAATGTATTAAAAGTGTATTTTAAAGAAACTATTATAAATATAGACAAAGATGCATTTGATTTATTTTAATGTGTTGTTTAAGAGAATTATGAAACTTCAGCTGAATGAATAAACTTCAGATTTCAGTTTAAAAGACTATATACAACTTGGATTATGGGAAAGAGTTATATATTTTATATCTAGAAAGGCCACTTACCAAAAAATAACTCATACTTTAACTATTGGTGTTTGTAAGTTGCTTAGTAGTGTCCAAGTCTATATGACCCCATGGACTGCCTCTAGGCTCCTCTATCATTGTGGTTTTCCAGACAAGAATACTGGAGTGGGTTGCCATTTCCTTCTCCAGGGGATCATCCTGACCCAGGGATCGAACCCAGGTCTCCCACATTGCAAGCAGATTCTTTACCATCTGAGACACCGGATTGATTAAAGAATGAAATCTCACTTATAAAGCATAGTTTTTTTTCCCCTAGAAATGTGTAACTTAAATTTGAGTAAAACTTTTTTTTTTCCCACTCAAATTTATTTTAGTCTGAACAGAAATTAAATCCAGAGATCTCACGCTTTTTCTTGGTTTTTCCAACTAGTGTTATCAAAATTTATTCTTTAATTATTAAATTTGTACTGAATCTTTGATAATGAGCCACAAAAACACCAGTTGACTAGCTCCCTTAATCCTTTTTATTGAGGTTACCTCTCTTATAAAACAAAGATAACTTTTAAGTAAGTCTTGTCGGCATTGAGCTACTGGCTAGTGTTTTTTTTTTTTCTGTTGAACTTTAATATGGCAGTTTATCCTGTTTTGTAAGGTGGACTCTATTTGTCATTTAGGAAGACTATTTAATGCATGTTTTTAGAGCTTTAATGAAGGATTCACATGGTCTTTTAAAAAATGCTTTAAATGTGACTACGGTGAAAACAAGATATTTTGTAAAGGGGGTAAGAGGCCACGAGTATTTTTCTTGCTCTTGTCTTGAGTACTCAGGGTCTGAACAACTGACGTTGATACAAAGCTCTTCAAAGGTTGAGTAAAACAGACAAACTGAGATGGGCTTTACGGGTTTGTGCAGATAGGATGTGGGATGTCCAGGACACTTATGCCCCGACTTGGCTTAAAAAACAGGTTTGAACAAGAAGTTTATTGTTCTGAGAAGATAACAGCAAATCAATGAGTAGTAGGGAATGATTCTAGTCTTTAGAGTAAGTTTTACATCATGTAAATACTAAAATAAAATATATGTTAAAATTCTTATGACATCAGCGATTTCTCCTTCAAGTATATCACTTGAAGTTCTTTTCATATCTCCCATGATTCCAAAGGAATCAACAGCAAGAAGTTTGATACATAATAATGAATAACAAAGTTTTATGAGAACTTCATTGCAAATTGTGGTAGCACATTTATCTTTTTAAGAATAAATGTTTGTGTGTCTTAAGTTTCTGATCTGAAATTTAGGACCTTTTCTATGTGTGTTTATTTCCTATATGTTTCAATATATGCTTAAGATAAATTCTAGCATAATGGACAATTATAACTCTGAAAAAATTTTAAACTTTTTTATTATTAGATTTTACCTATGATGTGGAAAGAAATGAATCAATGATCAAAGCAGAAAATAAACCTTTCTCAAATACAGAAAAGATTGAGCTCAGGGGTAAACGCAGCCAGGATTTTATTAAGCGAAACATTGAGGTATGTACCTAGAAATTTAGAAGCCAGAATGTGGGACTAAATGAGTTGCAAAAATGGAGATAGCTATGTTCATTGTCTTTACATTTTTTTTTTTTGACCATGATACATGTATATGTAATTGAAGCAATGCATATAACTGTAAGAGAAATTTTATGAACCAATGCTTAATTTCACTATTTTCTACTCTATCCTAGCCTATTCTATCTCATCCTACCCTCTTAAAAATTGCTAGCTGCAACTTAATAATTTGTTTCATTGCCCAGAAATGAATCTTGTTCCTGCAATTTGAAAGACATTTATTTAAATAATAGTTTTATACACTGTTTCCCAGATTTTGAATTGCATATTAGTAAAATTGGTTTTATTTAAAGTAATGAGACTGATTTTATAGTTGGTGCATTTAGAAATTTGAGTGGAAAATGCTCTTGGCAGAGGTGGAGAGGTCAACTGGTTGTCTGCCTACTGGCCCTGCCTCTTCTCTCCAACTCCAGCCCAGTTCCTGTAGCAGCCTGTTACTTGTCTCTTGCTTTAATTAGCTCACTGATATACAGGCTTAACTTGGTTTTAAAGGCCGTGCAGTCTGACTTGGTTTGTCCTCAAGGCAGACTTAGACTAACCAAGGGCACAGGGACTCCTGTATTCGACCAGAATGTGAAATAATTTATAGCAAGAAATGAAAGTATGGTGAACAGAAGGTTCATGGCAAGCCACCCAGGCAGTTAAGTCAGTGGAAAGCTACATTGATAAGTGTGACGTTAAGAGTTAAGTAATTCTTCATAGTTCAAGCCTGATGTTTTCCACAATTAGCATGTCTTTTCCAGGCAGACTGGATTCATGGGTCAGCCTGCCACTGCCAGGACTGGCCTCTGGGACTCTTGACTTTTATGTGCTCCGTGTTCCTATGATCTGAAAGAAACCTTTTCCAGCTTGCTCTTTTTGCACTGTCTCATTGTTTGTTGACTTAATGTGTAATTTTCCAAGAGCAGTAGGGTTTTCCCCATATCCAAGTTATTGCTGACACAGATAACAGCTCCACCATAGATTTTCCTTTTTCCTTTTATCAGTAGTAACTGAATCCTATTTAAACCCCTGATATGATAGTCTTGAAACTTAAAAGCAGTTTCATTTAGTGGATATATGTCACATAGAAAGTTGTAAGATTCCTCCCAAATGTCTCAGCAAGTATGTTGCATTTGATACATTTAATATAAAGAGAGGTTTGCAAACTGCCCATGTTTTATTTTTTATATAAAGTGTTTGTTGAGATGGTTGAATATCTTTGTTTGGAGAATGGAGCTCTACCAAAATTTAGAATAAAATAAAATTACCCAGCAAATGAAAATGCCTAATATAACAAACTTTACCTTAGTGAATCTGTATTGTGAAGCCTCAGATTCCATTTTAATTTTTCCTGAACTATGAGTTGCTTTGAGTATTTAATATTTTCTTTTGGTACATTCTATAGTTAGCCAAAAATTCGGGAAAACCAGTGGCTATGATTGATAGAGAAAAGGAAAAGCTGGTTGAACTTTTGAAGGACTTAGACGATACTGATTCAGGGCTGTCCAGTTCTGAGGTAAGTAAACTCTGATATTCTACAGGCTCCACACGTCTTAATTTTTATTTTTAAAATCATGTTGTTGATCAAATAGCAAAAATTGCAGTAATTTTTCAAATTATGGGGCAATATTTTTAACTTAAAAAATCTTGCTTTATAAATTTATTTTTATCAAAATTTTCCAATTTATTCTTGTTGATTCATTATTGACTCTCTTATGTCATTATAAGAGTGACCTACACGTTGGCTTTCACAATAATACCCTCTGCATGTGATGTGATGGGCCTGCTCATTGATGACATAGAGATATGTTTCTCTGGATCCTTTTATTTTGGACATTTCTTATTATCCCTTAACTGATTCCACATAATTTCAGTGTAATCTTTAGTAATCCTTAAGACCACCACCTTGCTCCTGTCCAGGTAACGCTGGGCATTCAGTTCCCTGAAGAGTCTGGGGCAAGCACAGGCTGAGTCTGGGGAGTGAATCCAGGGTGTGAATGTGAGTGTTTATAGGGCCTGGGCAGCTCACATAAGTAGTGCAGGCTCAGCATTTGCTCTTGTTTGCATTATAAACTTCTAGCTGTATTCTTGCTTCCACAAAGAAACACATTGTCCTGTGTTCCTTGAAACTCTTAGCACTGTCATCTAATTTTTATTCCCCTGTGTTTAATAGAGATGATATGGCGACTGCTGCTGACACCCTGCAGCAGCCCGTTACCTAGCACATCTGTGCATCCATCCCCTGCCGTGACTCCTCCTCTGGAGAACTGTCCTGGGCCAAATGGGAGCTGACCAGTCCAGGACAGGATGACACCCCCACCCCCCCAGTCCCTTTGTTTCCTCACCTTGAAATAGGATGAGCTGTGTGCGGTAGTTTGTCCTCCAGAGCTTCCCCAGGGGTCAGTCAGTCTTCAGCTGAGACATCCTTGTCTGGCTTTGTTCCCTTGTCCTAGCCTGCCTTCCTCACACCCCTAATCCTGAAAGCACTCTTCCACTAAGTCACTTAAACAGGAATCTCTGTCTCAGGTTCTGGGTCTAGGGAACCCAGCCTAGGACAATGTAGGTTCAGAGGGCAGTTTTAGCTCTGACTAAAAAGCAGTGCATGTGCAGCAATATCTGGGCCAGTATGCCAGTCAGTGGCTGCTGCTGCATAGAAATCCCCGCCCAGGGCTGCCTAGATCCTCCCAATTTGTCAAGAGAAGCTAGAAATTCAGATTAAAAAAAACACAATTCTCTGTAATTTCCACTCCAAGAAAGGCTGGTGTGTATTCCTCCAGGTTATGTATTCTCAACTGACACTGTGTTCTGGCGAAATGGAAAATGGAATCTACAGACACTGGAGGTGGTTTAGGAGAGTGGTTGAGTGCTGGCTTTGGCAGACTGGCTAGAAAGCAGGATCTGTCACTTCCCAGTTATGTCACTTTAGGAAGTTAGATCTTCTCAGCTCAGTTTCTCCTGGACAGAAAGCTAAAATGGTCTCACTGGACTAGGATCAGAGTTGGCAGTGGGCTGCTTTCCTTTCTATAGTTTCTTCAATAATTAATTAATTTCTAAAATCTTACATCTTAACAGGGCAGGAACTTTGGTATGCTTTCATTTCCCTCTTCTCTCATCTCTTCTCCTCTAGAATGCATTGAAATCACTTGGAATTTTAGTTCCAGGATGTTATAAGTTTTTCTTTTAAAAATAGTATGCTGCTTATATTTTAGGAATCTTTCTCAACAGTAGCCAAATTTTAAAACCACCTTATTACCTGTGTATTTAAACTTAACTAATTGTTTATTGGGGTTTCTCTGATGGCTCAGTGGTAAAGAATCGGCTGCAATGCAGGAAATGTAGGAGTTGCGAATTAGATCCCTGGGTCAGGAAGATCCCCTGGAGGAGGAAATGGCAACCCACTGCAATATTCTTGCCTGCAAAATCCCATGGACAGAAGAGCCTAGTGGGCTACAGTCCATGGGGTCAAAATAATTTTTCCTGAGTTATTTTTCTGGAATTAAAAGAATTCCCCTAAATATGATGGTGTGTAGATAATTTTTGAGTGTTTGCATACTCGAAAATTAATTCTTCTCTCACTTGAATGATGACATCAGATGGTAGCTTCAAATGGTAGCTCTAGATTTTCTGGAAGCTTGTTGGATTTTTCTCTTTATTTTTGAGTTCACCAATTTTATCAGAACTTATTTGTGTGCATCTTTAAAAACATTTTTGTTCTTGCATGACACCTTCTAGGTAGGCACTTTTAACCGGAAGATTCAATTTTTTCATCTGTTCAGAAAGTTATCTTCTGTTATTTCTTCTCTTCTGTCATCTCTTTTTCTTTCCTTTTGGGCTTCCTATAAAGTGGGATATCAATTGGGAATGGGATTAACTGCAAGTTACAGAAAACTTTATAGACCATGACTTAAATAAGAAACTTACTTTATTTTTTTTTTCTGTAACAAGAAATCCAAGTGTAAGTAGCTAGTGTCTTTTGATCTTCTTGACTCATGGTCTTAATGTGTTTTTGTTTTTCAGTGTGCAAGATGACTTCTATATCTAGATAATATGTAAATTTTCCAGGCAGAAAGAAAGGGGGAAAGGAAAGGGTAAAAGAGATACCTCTAAAACTTTGCCTTTTCATTTGGGAAGCTGTGATCTCCCCATGACTTCCACCTGTACCTCACTGGCTAAGCTAAGACAGCATGTAGTCATTCATTTCAAACAGCTGTTCAGTCAAGACAGAGGATTCAAAGATTTCACTGTTTTTTTGGTTTTTGGTTTTTTTTTTAGCAGAGGAAGGCAAAGAAGGAGGAGATTGGAAAAGGGGACCAGGTCAGTCTATGTACCAAAGCCCATACATGGGTATAGAATCTCCTGGATCTCTCCTCCAGGCCTTCAAGTATTTTTCTCATAGTCTTTATCCTTTTTGTCATTTTGCTCATCTACATTCATTGTACAGTTTTCTGAGTTGAGTTTCAAACATCTCTTCTGCTTACTTTGCTTGTGCAGCCCTCTTTTGAGATTGTTGCTATTTTTATAATTATTATTGTTTTTTAAACTAATACTTGCTGAAAGTTCTTTCTGCAAGTCCTCTGAGGAGAAGGTGTCCTTTTTTATTATCTGATGTGGGAGATAGACATTCTATATGGAGATTCTATGAAGCCAGATAGGTGGTGACACATGATGGAATAGAGATCAGAGGAGGAAGATGTGAATGTGGCAGGGAGGGACTGCCATTTTGAGGAAGGGACTGACCTATCTATTTTTTCCTGAAACTGTACCAGATTTCTTGCCATGCTTCAAATTTGCTGTATTCTTTCAAGTGTCTGTATGTCCTTTGGGAGTGCTCTGCCCCTTCACCTCTGACAAATCCAACATAAAGAGGATGACTAACATGATAATTATGTTTGAATTCCTCGGAACTCAACGCCTGCCGGTTGTTGCTTATAGTGGCATGTTTCATTGTATGGATGTAATGTTCTCTTCAGTTTGTCTAGGATACTTTGAATTTGTTAAAGATTTTCCCCTCTGTTGGGAGCTCACAACTACTAATGACTTCCCCCAAAGCCGGAAGCCTCTGCCATCACCCTTCCCAGAAAAATGGGTTTTGCATTAAATCTTAAGTTCCTTACATCTGAATCAATATTAGATGGGTGAATCTGATTGTAGACCCTCATTACTGGCCTGAATCCTAGCTGTAAAGCAGGTGGTGAAGAGCATTTTCTGGGTTCTGTCTTAGGGAGGCGAGATTCCTATACATTGCAAGTATAGGCAGAAATACATACATCACTTTACTACATGTTACACACCTGTATGCAGGTCAAGAAACAACAGTTAGAACCAGATGTAGAACTATGGACTGGTTCCACATTGGGAAAGGAGTACATCAAGGCTATATATCGTCACCCTGCTTATTTAACTTATTTGCAGAGTACATCATTCAAAATGCTGGGCTGGATGAAGCACAAGCTGGAATCAAGATTGCCAGGAGAAATATCAATAACCACAGATACCCAGATGATACCACCCTTACGGCAGAAAGCAAAGAGGAACTAAAGAGTCTCTTGATGAAGGTGAAAGAGGAGAGTGAAAAAGCTGGCTTAAGACTCCGTATTCAAAAAATGAAGATCATGGCATCCAGTCCCATCACTTCATGGCAAATAGATGGGGAAACAGTGACAAACTTTATTTTCTTGGGCTCTAATATCACTGCGTACAGTGACTGCAGCCATCAAATTAAAAGATGCTTGCTCCTTGGAAGAAAAGCTATGACCAACCTAGACAGTGAATCAAAAAAGCAGGGACATTACTTTGCTGACAAAGGTTTGTCTAGTCAAAGTTATGGTTTTTTCAGTAGTCATGTACAAATGTGAGTGCTGGACGATAAAAAAGACTGAGTGCCGAAGAATTGATGTTTTTGAGCTGTGGTGCTAGAGAAGACTCTTGAAGGCCCCTTGGACAGTACAGAGATCAAACCAGTCAATCTTGAAGGAAATCAACTGAATATTCATTGGAAGGATTGATGCTGAAGCTGAAGCTGCAATACTTTGGCCAGCTAATGAGAAGAACCGACTCATTAGAAAAGACCCTGATGCTGGGAAAGATTGAAGGCAGGAGTAGAAGGGGATGACAGAAGATGCAATGGCTGTAGGGCATCACCAACTCAATGGACATAGCTTTGATCAAACTTTGGGAGATGGTGAAGGACAGGGAAGCCTGGTGTGCTGCAGTCCATGGGGTTGCAAAGAGTCAGACATGAGTGAGCGACTGAAAAACAACACACAATTTCCTTCTGTAACAGTATAAAACATGAAACGTTTCAATTTCTGCTGCACTTAGGTTTTTACTTCCAGTGTCATTTAAAAAGAATTCCATTCAAACAAGAATTTAAAATTTAGTAACCAATATTTAATAATTTATTCCATAGTTTTTTTTTTTTTTGGTCAGATTCTTATTTCTCTTTTAGGTCATATAATATTTATATCACTTTTACTTAGGAAAAAAGATCAGAATTTATTTGTGACTAGTTAGATATGTTTTTATAATCATGTGTAATTTTCATATGCCAACTTGCAAGCGTATTTTAAATGTTTATTGCTATAGTATATCTTATATGGATATAGTATAATCTCACTTTCTTCCTATTTTCAGACTTTTGCAATTATCCTTTATTATAAGTAACATGGCAAAAAAATTCAGTGTTCTGGGTTGCAAGAAATGGAGGCAAATTTTGGTTAAAAAAGGGAGAAAATGAATTTTTTGGGAGACTTGAGTAGCTCAAAGGCACAGTGGAAAGTTTGAAGGACCAAGTTTGTAAACCAGGCAGAAATCAAGGTAGCCAGAAAAATGGCCCTGGAAACTCCTCAGAAGCAGGCTGGTTCAGGGTTGCGCTGCAGCCGCCAGACGCCAGACACCCAGGCTCAGTCACTGCTGCCACCTTCACTGCTCCCAACACTGGATCCTCACTGCTGCTGCTGTCACCATTAATCTCTTCCCCACCTTCCTGGCATCTTTGAATCTCTCTCTCCTTCAAGAGTCTAAGTCCAGGCAGGGTGTTTACGTCCAGTTGACTCAATCTAGTTCATTTGCTGGCCTTCTTGATGCCAGTGGGTAGGGAGGAGCAGTGTCTGGTGGGGACCTGTTCCCTAGAGAGGCTTACGCAATATTAGTGTCACTGAAGCAGGAAGGGAGATAGGATGCTGGGGCCAGGGAGAGACAAATGTTAAGTCTTTCTGCATAAGTTTTTGCATGTGCTTTTTCTGGTTACCACTTAGGGATTGATCCCTGGTATTAGAGTCATGAAACCAAAGGACATGAAATTCTTAGGCTTCCTTGCCCTCCATCTGCCCCTTTATTCTTGGTGTTCTTCTGTCTTTATGCTTCATGCTTCTCTTTGTGACCTCACCCATTCCCATGCTCTGAGGCTTTGAACCACTATAGAATTATGGGTGAGTCCAAAATACTTATTTTCCAAGTCTCTATCTTGAACTTCCGATAAACATATTTAACTACCTGACATAATCTGTGGATATCCTAGGGATATCTGTGAATATTGAAAGGCCCCAAGCAGAATTCATTATCATCATTTGCCTCCTCAAACCTACTGTGTCTGGTATTCCTTATTTTGATCCATATGACCACTATCCCCCTAGTGGGATATAAAAATAAAAATAAAAATCAGAAATTCGGTTTTTATGCTTGATTCGTATTCCTCCCTCATTCTTCCATCAAATTATCTCCAGATTCTGTACATTCTGCTTCCTAAGTATCTCTGGAATTGGTTCTGTGTTCTGCATTCCTAGGAAACATTCCAAGTTCAGACACTCATCACTTTTCTTTTAGATTATGGCTTTTGCTTCTTAACTGGATTTTCTGTCTCCCATCTCACCCTCACTAGCTCCAGTTTTAAAGTGCACAGCTGATTGTGTTGTTTCTCTAAGATGTTACTAAGATTGATTATTTCCTTTAGGAAGCCTTCTCCAAGCACTTTTTCTCCTTGCTCTTTCCTGTTCAGAGAGGCTAGTTGACCCTCCCTGATCCCCGTGGAGTCCTGGGTTTACCAATACTTTTCACACCTTGTTAAAAATCTTTGCTGTCAAGGGACTGAGAACTCCTAAAGGCAGGAATGTGTGAGATTCATATTGAATCACTAGTGCCCAGTATAAGGCCTCCCCATAGTAGGGGATTTTTAAAAAAAAATTATTTATTTTTTAATTGAAGGATAATTACTTTACAGAATTTTGTTATTTGCTGCCAAACATCAACATGAATCAGCCACAGGTATACCCATGACCAGTAGGAGATTTTTGAATGAAATATTATGAATGGCTTTTAACCTGTGAAGAAACTAAAATTGAGATCGACACATATACACTGTTGATATTATGTATAAAATAGATAACTAATAGAACATACCATGTAGCACAAGGAACTCTACTTAATGCTCTGTTGTGAACTGAATGGGAAGGAAATCCAAAGGAGGGTCTACATGCATACATGTACATATATTCATTTTGCTGTACAGTAGAAACCAATACATCATAAACCAACTATACTCTGATAAAAATTAATTTACAAAAAACTAAAAATAAAAAGAGAAACTAATGTTGGTTGAATGGCCAGTTGTGATCTTGAAACCCAGACAAACCGAGTTTATAGACTCAATTACTTTTCAGGGACAAATTTTGAAAATAACATGTCCACTATAGTGTAAACATGATTTCTTCCTATTCAACAAACCACTTTTCCAGAGTGGAGAAATATGGATGTTATGAGACTCAGACTGTGAGGCTAAGAGATTTATTCCATAGTGGGAAAACCCTGCAAAATATAAGAATATACGTTATGCAGAGTTGGCAGATAATGAAACCTTAAACTGTTTAATTCTTTTCTTGTACTATCTCAAGTTAATTCTGTTTTTTTAATTTTAAATGTTTATTTGTTTTTGTGAGGAGCATTAATGTGACAGTTTGAAAGGTATATTTTGGGAAAAAATAGTAGTGTGAGAATGACCTGGTGGCCCTTGTTTCCTTTTAGGGAGATCAGTGTGGCTGGCTAGTCTCGGGAGAAGGATACACACTTGCAGTCACCCAGCATCAGCAGCTTGCTGAAATTGATACAAAACTCCAAGAACTGTCTGCCACCTACCCAACAATTTTCAGCTCTTCTCCAAGACCAGAACATCAGATTGATGAGGTATATTTGATACAAGAGCCTATAGATTTCAGGTTTATGTGTACCTACGCTAGTTCACATCATTTGACAATCTTCTTGTTAACTCAAGAGATTTCTTCCCAATTGCTTTTCCCATGACTATAATTGTAGTGATAGTGATTTCCACAGCAGTGTGTATTTTCCCTGGCTGACTTTCTGTTCATTATTCTTTCAATTGATAATATGCTAGGATGGGGTTACTGAGAAAATATTTATTTTAATATCTTTATGACTTAACTAATTCTTGATCGTGAACAGAGGAGAGGAGAGGGAAGAGAATCAACACAGCACTCATTCCTTTGAGAGCTTTATTTCTGTCTGTTCCTTGGTTCTAGAAGTTAGCAATGGTAGTCACCTGCCCCTTACTCTGCTACATTCTTTTAGCTCCTTTCATTTAACAAGCAGTGAAGCTCACCATATGGGTTTCCCTGGTGGCTCAGTGGTAAAGAATCTGCCTGCAATACAGGAGACTTGTAGGAGATGTGGGTTCAATCCTTGGGTCAAGAAGATCCCCTGGAGAAGGAAATGGCAATCCACTCCAGTATTCTTGCCTGGAAAATCTCATGGACAGAGGAGCCTGGTGGGCTACAGTCCATGGGGTCTCAAAGAGTCAGACACAACTGAGTGACTAAACAATGAAGCTCACCATGCTGATGACTTCTATCCTGTGAGGATTCTTCACTTGATAGTTCCCTCAGATATTCTTTTATGTAGCTAGTAGAAGGTGAAGAAAAACAGAAGAATGACAGCATCTTTGGAAAAGTAAATTCTTTTTCTGCCCTTGGTTTCAGTATTTTGTGGGATCTAGTTTGCAGTTGGGTGGTAATTTTGCCTGAAGAGAAAATGGCTGGTCTTTTGTTAGTCTACTAATCCTCTTATCAATTTTGTAAACATATCACCAAATCATTTTCTGTACAGTATTAGATGCATGTGAACCTACTTGTTTTTAAAAAGATTTAAATAATATCAGTAGTCTGTCGGTAATAATTCTGCTTTATAGTGAATCTTTTCTTCAAGCTGTCAGTTGAAGATTAGGGATCTGGATTTGGGTCAGTTGAACTACCTTAAGGGAAAGGAGCAGTGTTAATACGCTCCCAAGAAAGTCTGGTTGTGAGGGAACCTTTCTGGAGCCATCACAGCTTCCTTGATTTACACTCCTAAGGACCAGGCACAGCCGCCTCTGAGCCCTTTACACAGCTCAGTGGTGGTAGTGGGAACCACTGATTTCTGGATTGGGGTCAGAGGTCTGAGGGAGAACTATAGAATCTCTGTCCTCACCTAAATATGCCCTAGGACTTTGACACATGAGCAGTTTTGCTGCTAGTTTATTTTTGTTTACTGGGTACCCTTTCTCAAAAGGAGGAAGCCAGGACAGGGGAATAAAATTGTTCAGGGATATTCTTTGTTCTTTCTCTGTTATAGCTGATTTTTGTTGTTGTTATTGTTGTTATATTTCAAAGGTCCCTGAGATCTCAAAGCTGGATAATGGTCCTAAATACAGAAAATGGCTTTTTCACAATCATCAAATGTTATTCTTGAAAGAGAGACTTAGAATTTAGAGATTTGTTCAGCTGTTAGAACTTCTGATAAAGCGTGACAATGATCAGATGCTGTCATTGTCATTTAAATCACATTTCAAAGTTAGCATTTATGATTTAAATAAAATATTTAAAAAACAATAAAAGGGAAAACCAGTACCTTACTTCGTTGTTACATACTGATATTATATATTTTTATGTGAAACAAATTATATTTAGAGAAAAGAGAAAACTGCATTTTGGGACTCCCATTGGATACAGATACAGAAATGTGGCATCCTAGTTATTGAAAGGAGGTAATTAATGCCCCTTGTATGCAAAAAAAAAATATTTTGAGCTTATCTTCAATTTCCTGTTGGCATTTCCTCATTTCTAACTAAAACCAGTGTTGCACATTGAATTTTCAAGCTAGAAATGCTAGCATGGCAGATTACTTTACGGATATTATTTTTGGATTGGAATTCTTTTTGAATAATACACTGAAAAGTATCTCAGGATAAACCCCGCATATCTATTCAGTTGATGAATGGCCTCCAATCTTTTGCTGAACCACAAATATTCATAATGCATAGTTACGATGTTTTTAACCTTTCTGCAAGCCTTTAACTCATCGGTAATTTTTCTCCACATTTCTTAAGAAAAAAATGTCTTTTAAGTGGAATGTAAGTTTCTATTTTCAACAATCAATTAAACAAATATTAATCAAGTGCTCACTGCATGCAAGGAATTGTAGAGCATTTAAAGCTGAGTCAGGCACATAGAGAACTGTGGAGTGAGAAAGCCTTGCTTCAGGTTCTGGCTCTTCCACTTACTGGCTCTGAGGACTTGGGTGTTAATTAGAAGCACTTTAAACCTCAGTTTCTTCATCTGTACAATTGTAATGATAATATTATTCCTGAGGGTTCTTTTAAAGTGGAGGCGAGTTACAAGTTAATATGTGTAAAGTACTTAGCACAGTGTCTGACCCCAAACTAAGCCAAAGATGTTATTATTAATATAATAAGGGACTTAAGGAACTTACTGCCTTGTGAGAGGCACAGAATATATATAGATAACTGTGGTACAAGGCATCATAGGTAAGAACAATAGAAGGCTATGAGCAAAGTGCTTTGCTGGTTCAGAGGAGAGAGAGAAAGCACATCCATAAGGAATACCAAGAAAGTTCATTTCAAGTGAGGGATAGGAGGAGGAAGAGAAACCAGTGAGTGAGGTAGAGGAGGTCAGAGTTCCTGGAGAAGGCCACCATCACGTAGCATGAGGTTGAAAACTGGTGAAAATGGGTGAACGCATAGAAAAGGTCCAGATTTCTAGTTTCTTTTGAAAAATTAGAAAATCTGGCAACATTAGGCTTGAAGTGTTGATTGACAGTGTATAGGACTGAGCTGAGGAGCAACTGCTGCTTTCCATGAAGCACAAGTTTTCCAGTTTGCTGCACCATCCATCACGCCGTATTGTGTTGCCTACAAAACACGGGCCTCCTCCTTGCACTGAAGTACCTTGCCCAGCCCCTGCCCAGGCCATCAAAACATCTTTGAATGCCTGTTATTTCATGAGAGATGACGTGGTGGTGGGAGCTGAGTATCCAGATTAATATGTGGCTTTACCTCCAACCTTAAAGCATCTCGTCGGATACTGGAGGATAGGACATATAAACACAGATCAATTTGTGCAGTGGGCCGACCATTCAGTGAAAGTACCACAATATGGGAACTTATCTTATGAGAAGTATAGAAAACATATGCTGGGGGAGCACTGGGAAAGGAAAGTTTGAAGAAGGAGTGGTATGTTAATAAGGAGTGATATGTTAAAAATTCATTTGAAAGTTTTAAAATTTTGATCAGGAAAATAGTTTCCCAAACAAGTTGAAACACACAGGATTTCTGACTTACCCGACTGTGGCAACAATAAGATGCTAAACTGGTAGGCACATAAGCCCAGGATGAATCAATAATTTGAGGGGCTCCAGAGAGGTGACTCTGAGATTAAGGAAGTATTGGTTGTTGTGAAAGGGGCAGATGAGGAATCTCTTCCTTATGAGTTTGCTGATTACAATGTTCTCATGTAGGTGCCCTTGCTATTAGCTTCATGGAGATATTTTAAAAGCAGCGTTTGGCTTTCACATGTCTGATTTCTTTAGTGTAAAACAAAGCTCGTGGTCACTTTCAGAAGAAAGAATGGCTGCTGTTGCTGTAATGTGAGTAATATCATGTGGTTAGTTTTACATCTGCTTTTTATTTTCATTCATCATAGCAAAAGAGAACTAATTGAAGCAATTTTTTTCCTTAGGATCTGTGGTTTAACTGTGCATAGCTTTTTGTATCCATCCCCTAACCTCCAACAAGTCAGTTATTTCTTTCCACGTACTGTAAATCCCACCATAAAATTGAGTGATGTCCTATAATTTAGTTACTGTATTTCTTATTTGCAGCTGTGTTACATTCCAGCTTTCTCCAGAAATATCCAAGATATAGGCGTTATGTAAGCACTCAGTTTAAGTCCTTAGCAACTGGATTCAATAATAAATTCTATTCAGTTTAGCTCTTGTAAAGAAGTGTAATTTATTCATCTCTCATGCAATCAGTCTTACTAAATCTAGCATTCCAGTTCATCATTAGATTTTGTTTTCCTGGTTGGGAGAGAGTGTTCAGAAATGGCTCTCATTGACATATGAGGAATTTCTTTGTTCTTAAGTCAGCTAGTTTAATTGACTATAAAGGTTCTCCTCAACTCAATTTATTTTCTTGTTCTTAAACTGTTGATTCAGTTGTATATGATTTTGATAAGACCAACAAATACCAACAAACATTTGATTGAGGAAAATTGTAGCTGTATTTACCTCTTCTATTGCCAAGAAAATTTTGACCAGCAATTAACTGTTTTTTGATCTCTTTCTGTTTCAATGTTAGCTAACCTTGAGGAAATATAAAACATGTTTTGATGTGTAATCTTAAAAGATGTTTTGTTATTGAGTCCAGAAACTTGCAGAGTTTCAATAATGGCCATGCTGTTCACTTGATCTCAAATTACTTAATATGCTGATCAAGGTCAGGAACCGAGGAGTTGTTTTATGTATGTCAGTCACAAGCCCAGAAATCTTATTAACCATCTGTTCATTTAAAAAAAATATAGAAGTATGCCATGAGAGCATGGGTTTCTGGATTGAGGAATAAACAGGAAGTTAATTCAGACATCCTTGCCTCTGATGCTAACCTGGCAAACATGTGCGTGTTCAAGCTTAGTCATTCAGACTCTTTGTGACCCCCATGGATCATAGCCTGCCAACTCCTCTTGGTCCCTTCTCCAGGGAATCCTCCTGACTCAGGGATTGAACCCGCGTCTCTTGTGTCTCCTGCCTTGGCAGGCAGATTCTTTATCACTGCACCACCTGGCAAACATTCCCAATTAAATCTGTGGAATTCTTGCTACCTGTGTTTTACAGATTAC